CCCTAGATCCCAATATCTCCAAATCCCAATATCCCTAGATCCCAATATCTCTAAATCCCACTATCCCTAGTCCCCCATTACCCTAGATCCAAATATCCCTAGATTCCACTTACCCTAGATTCCAATATCTCTAAATCCCAATATCCCTAGTCCCCAATATCTCTAGATTCCAATTACCCTAGATCTCAATATCCCTAGTCCCCAATTAGCCTAGATCGCAATATCCCTAGATTCCACTTACCTAGATCCCAATATCCCTAGATTACAATATCTCCAAATCCCAATATCCATAGGTCCCAATATTCCTAGATTCCAATATTCTTAGATCCCAATATCCGTAGATCCCTATATCCCTAGTTTCCTAAATCGCTAAATCTCAATATTTCTATATATGTATTCTTGTATTACATCATCCCTATTTTGTAATTGCAGGAGGCCATCTACACCGGAAACAATGTTATGACCATATCCATGGTGCTGCTCAAAATATTCATCTCGTACATACATAGAAAAAAACTGTTACGTTTAGTGATATACGCGAAAACGAATTTTTGGCACTTGAATTACGAACCAGAGGAGATGGAGATCATGGACAATTGCAGACGTACTTGCACCTTCCTCATTTGCGCTTTCTCCTTCCTCACACAAGGGACGGTTGCCGGCTTTATAATGAGCTGTGTGGTGGGTAAGTCGAAGGACGATTAATTTAATGAACTTGGTCCTTCGTTTGATCCGATGGTTCTTCATAACGTTTGTGTTATAGTCCCTATATTTGTGGTTCACCACAAAGGACTCTACTCTATTGATGTCTACTCACAAGTTGGCCCTCGAAGAGAGATACAGCTTCTTTTACTTTGGGACGCGCCATCTTGTGGGTTGACGTCTGTACACAATTTTATGCTTTATTAAATGCATTTCAAATGCGTGCTTATTATTTTATCCTTCACGTCGTATTACGTTTGATAGAAATTAGTTATGAATAAGACTGAATGATAGTTATGCCTTCTAAGTACCATGTTTATTCCAGTGTTATTGTAGAACAGAATATTTAGAAAGTGGCGTTTATCTCGTCGAGAGTGCACATTTGCATTAGTTAATATCACGTAAAGATCAATCGAAAGATGTCCGAAGATTGTCACGCAACAGAACTATGTCTTTTAGAGAACATCGGAAGAAATGAATCAGACAGAGTGTTTCCGTTCAACGTGTGGCTGGATGTGCCAGAAATTACGTTGACGCCATATTTCGAGATTATATCAGCAATAGAGGTAAGTGATTGAACTCGATATACTTAACCTAACCGAATCTAACGAATATAACTATTCCGTTCTGATTCAACCGAGAAATTTTGCACAGGTTTTGGCTTTGTGTCACGTTGGCGTGTGTTATTTGTGCTTCGACAACTTCTTGTGTCTGATGAATCTGCACGCTGCGTGCCAGTTCCGTATATTGCAGCACAGACTGTCGAAGGTGTATGTCATACATGAGAAGGAGAAGGACCACTTGACAGTGAAATATTATGATACTCTTCGAGGCTACTTTAAACAGCATCAAACACTGATCGCGTACTGCGACAAATTTGAAGAGGCGTTCAGCGTGATGGTGCTCGCGCAGGTGCTGCTCTTCAGCTTGTTAATTTGCTTGGATGGATTTCTGGTGCTTATGGTGAGTGACGATCAAGTTCATGCTGCTTTTGGGTGCTGAAGCATCTGGGAATTTAGGAGATCTGGGTATGTGGGGATGTGGGAAACCTGGGGATGTGGAGATATAGCAGGGTTGAGGATGTGGGAGGTCTGGGGATCTAGGAGGTTTGGAGATTTAGGGTGTATGGGGATTTAGGAGGTCTGGGGATCTAGGAAATATGGGGATCTGGGGATCTAGGAGATATGGAGATCTGGGGATCTAGGAGATCTGGCGATTTAGGAGATATTGAGATCTGGGGATCTAGGAGATCTGGGGACCTAGGAGATCTGGGGATGTAGAAGGTTTGGGGATAGGAGGTATGTGGATCTAGGAGATCTGTGGATCTAGGAGATCTGGGGACCTAGGATATCTGGGGATGTAGAAGGTTTAGGGATCTAGGAGATCTGGGGACCTAGGAGATCTGGGGATGTAGAAGGTTTGGGGATAGGAGGTATGTGGATCTAGGAGATCTGTGGATCTAGGAGATCTGGGGACCTAGGATATCTGGGGATGTAGAAGGTTTAGGGATCTAGGAGATCTGGGAACCTAGGAGTTCTGGGGATGTAGAAGGTTTGGGGATAGGAGGTCTATGGATCTAGAAGATCTGGAGATCTAGGAGATATGGGAACCTAGGAGATCTGGGGATGTAGAAGGTTTGGGGATAGGACGTCTATGGATCTGGAAGATTTGGGAATCTAGAAGATCTGGGATTTAGAAGATCTGGGTATCTAGAAGATTATGAGATCTGGGGCTCTAGGACATCTCGGACTGCAGGAGATCTGGGGACCTAGGAGATCTAAGAATGTAGACCTGGAGATCTAGAAGATCTTGCGATTTGGAAATCTAGCAGATCTGGAACCCAAGGAGATCTTGAAATCTGGAATCTAGGAGCTATTAAGATCTGCAGATCTAGGAAATCTTGAGATTTGGAGATCCAGACATCTGGGAATCTAGGAGGTCTTGAGATCAGGGGATCTAGGTATCCAGGGACCTACTGTCCCAGTGATACATGGATGTGTAAATATAAAAATTGGTCCTCTAAAAATGTAGTTATATACAAATATTCACCATAACAATGAATTCAACAGGATGACGCTCCTAACATGAGGCGCGTCATATTTGCGTTCCACCTAATGTGTTGCATATGTCAGCTGCTGATGTTCACATACAGTTGCGACTGTTTGATCCGCGAAAGCTTGGACGTTGCTACCGCAGTGTACAATAGTCCCTGGACAGTTGTGCCACATGATAATATGGGGAAGATGGTACGGAAAGATCTGGTACTCATGATCCTCAGATCTAGGGTACCCTGCTGCATAACGGCTAGTGGATTTTTTGTTGTCTCTCTGGAAACGTACACGAGGGTAATTTACATTAATTCACTTTTTGTACCATTGTAATTAATTACAGTTAAATTTTTGTAGTATTTTGATTAGAATGATTTCGTAGTATAAAATTGAATAATTAATTAAGTAAACAAATGTTATTTTAGGTTGTCTAATAAGTCACGTTGTTTCAGGTTTTGAGTACCGCAGTGTCCTACTTCACATTGTTAAATCAATACTGAAAGTACTATAGTAAGAAGAATAAATAAAAAATATATTTTGCGGCTAATAATTCTAGACTTTTTAATTTTTGAATTTTTATAATTTTAAATGACTGCATCATCAAATTTCTTACCATCTCTCAATTCCTACGTTATTTACAAATTAAGTAATTCTGATTAAGTTCCACCATTTAGGTACTCAGGCCCCATCTTTGTAATTACCAATTTACTAAATACCGAATATTTGAATACGATAATTCCTGAACGTGTTCCTAAATATCTATCTTTCTATTTTAACGAAATACTAAGTTTCAAAACTCCTCACCTAAACTTGTCACAAATGCCTTTAGCATAACAAAAGGTATCCAGCGTCACGTGTTCCAAGATGGCTGACTCCCCAACCGACATCTCCCACTTTTAGCAACACTTGAACCGTTCACATATGGTCACAGCAACTAACTGGCAAACTGCAGCTACGCAATTGCATTGATCACATTTCAATAATGTAGCAAGCATTAATTATAGGTACCCGTACTTTACGGATGTCACTCAACGAAAATTGTATCGCGTCCTTGGTATCGGTGGCACAAAGAAGTGGAGGATTTTAACAACTGGCAATTGACGCTCGCCATGCAAGGGGAGAGGTACACGGACTTGTCAATTACTCTGTCTACCTTCTGCATGAAATACGCTGGGTTGTGGACAGCCAAGAATTACGCGGAAGAACGTCGAAGAAAACTGGGGATAACGTACTCGATTTACATACTCTGCTTCGCGATGTTCTTTGAGATCAGAGACTTGTACTTCTCCTGGGGCGATCTTAGTGTGAGTGCACTTCACGGCTGCGTATCATGAGGCCGTGAGTACATTAACGAATAAATACCACGAGTGATTTTTTCGCAAATAATTTTGATCGGCCAAAGAGTTACGTTGTTTCTGTTGACAGACACCTATACAATTTATGTGTCAACTTTCTTCGCCTTTAACGAATTCCTTGAAACTTGGACTTTAGGGTATCACAAACAACTGTGACGGGTACAGTGAAGTTTCTCAGTTATTATAAATGGTTAATCATGTAGAATAAAACTAAGATGACTGATTTTGGTAATATAGGAAAATTTCATAAATGTAAGGTTGCTTGAACTTGATGAAATGTATAGTACAGGGGGAGAGAAATAAATGCGCGTGTCGGGATTTGCATTTTGCGTTTCGGTACGTAATTCATGTTCTAGAAGAGCAAACACAGTTGCAGATGGTTAGTTATGTTTCAATGAATATCTTGACAACTCCACTCATGTATCGAGATCAATATGTCGTTCAGTAAAATAATTGCACGTATAAGATTCATAATGGAATGTCTTCCTAAAAAGCGACAGTTTTTTGGCCACCTGAATATTTTAAACTGTAGTGCCGATAGTGAAAACGTCTATAATGTTGCGAATGATAATAAAACAATGTACTGAAAATTTCAAAGCACATACGTGGATTTATATTGACAATTTCAGGCAGCTCTCTATGTGGCTTGCAACCTTTCAATAGTTGCTCTCACTTCGTTCAAAGTGTTCATCCTAGTGTTATACAGATCAGAGTTGGCTGATTTAATTTTGTATATGCAAGAACACTTTTGGCATTGTGAGTACGACGAGCGGGAGAAAGCTATTCTGGCAAGCTGCAGGAAAACTTGCATATTTTTCACCATTTCCGTTACTTTTATCGGTGAATGCGCTGTTTTCTCTTATCTTGTGACTCCGATCGTTGGTAAGTGAATATAATGCAGTTATTGTAGTGATGGGCAGCGGATTCGCAATTTCCGAAGATTCTTGGAGTAATTTTGTCGAATTGGAATTTTCGAATGTAGGAATTTCCAAATTTTTTTGAGCGCGAATTGATAAATTATTTGATTGGTAAATTACAGAATTGTTGAATCACCAAATTCCTAAATTACTAGATTCCAAGATGCCAAGATTCCAAGATTCCAAAATTCCAAAATTCCAAGATTCCAAAATTCCCAGAA